GGCGCCACGTAATTCCCGGGGAAAGTGCCGAATTTCTGCGTCCTCCTGGACACKCCTGTGGGGACAAAGCCACGCGGGRCGSGTGAGAGGTGACGGTGGCACTTTGTCCTCATCCCTGTCCCCATCCCGGTGGCCACGCACCCACGAACCAGCCGTCGTCGCACTGCTGCATGACATCCACTCTGTCCCCCTCSCGCAGCTCCAGCTCGTCGGCGTTTTGGGGCCGGTACTGGTAGAGCGCCCGGTACCTGCGAGACACAGCRTGGGCAGAACCCGCTCCCCGCTGCCCCCTCGCCACCCTGGGGMCACTCCCGGCCCTACTTACGGTGTCCACCGGATTTCGGAGCCGTTGTAGGACGGGGCGGGCTCGGGGCGGGCGCTGCTGGGTGCCCCCGGGGTGGAGCGCTGTGTGCGGGGACAGGGTGGGCTCAGGGCAGCGCTCACAGCCCCAGCGCTGCCGGGGCACGATGCCAGGGCGGGGGGCACTCACCTGCTCGGGGGTCCAGGCGGCCGCAGGGTGCGGGGGGCTGGCAGAGGCCACCAAGGGGCTGGGGACGCCGGCGTGGGGCAGCTTTGGGGACGGGGGGAAGGTGGCACCACCGAGGTGGCGCGGAGAGGACGGGAGCCCGCCCGTCACCCCGGGACCCCGCTCCGCTGCTCGGGGGGAGCCGGAGGGAACCTGGGGGATGCGGGGACCGGGGGAGCGCTGMGGGGACGGGGATCCGRCSGCGGGCCGGGGGCTGGCGGGGCTGGGAGAGGAGGGGATGTCCTCGGCGGTGCCTTTGACCCGCGGCTCCTTCAGCACCTGCACGTAGGTGGCGGGGAAGATGCCCTGGCGGCTGGTGCCCGAGATGCGCCCCTCGTACCAGTTCTCGTTCACTCGCCGCACCAGGCAGATCCGCTCGCCCTGCCGCGGGGGGCAGAGGGCGGATCAGCACGGATCGGCACGGATCGGCACGGATCAGCACGGAACGGCACAGCACGGAGCCGCGGTACCTTGCGGAAGGACAGCTCCACGTGCAGATCCCCTCGGAAGTTGTAGAGCGCCAGCGCCTCGCCGTATTCCAGCACTTGGAGCGCCGGAGCTTTGATGGGTTTGGGCACCTCGGTGGGCGGCAGGATCTGGGTGGGACACGCGGGTGAGGGGCAGCGCCAGGACCCTCCGGCCCCGCTGACCCCCTCGCCCCCCGGTGAGGGCTCACCTCCACGTAGTTGGAGGGGAAGATGCCCACGCGGCCGTGGTGCTCCCCCTCCAGCCAGTTCCTGTCCACCTCCTTGTGGATGTAGACGATGTCACCTTTCTGCAGCGTCAGCTCCCTGCAAGSGACACTGTCACACCCGCACCCCTCYGGTCCCCAGGGACACCCCAGGAGCGACCCCCGGCAGCTCCAGCTCTTACTTGGGAGATTCAGCCTGGAAGTTGAACTTGAGGCGAGCAGCTTTCATCTGGGGAGGGAGAGGAAGGGGTTACAGCGAGACCCCCCCCAAGCCCGGCCACCCCAAACCCCACACGGGACGGGACCAGCCCGGCCTCACCTTCTTCTCCTCCTTCTTGACGGCCTCCACGGGATCYCCCAGGTCGGACAGGCTGGGGAGGGTCCCCGGCCTGAGGGTGTCTGCAAAGAGCGGGGTGTCACCGGCGGGGGTGTTTGGGGTGCAACAGGGCATGGACTGGGGGGCTCAGAGGGGCTCAGGAAGGCTCAGGGGGGCTTAGAGAGGCTCCAGGGAGCTCAGGGGGGTTCAGAGGGGCTCAGGGGAGCTCCAGGGAGGCTCAGAGGGGTTCAGGGGATTCAGGGAGGCTCAGAGGGGTTCAGGGGGGATCAAGAGGGCTCCAGGGGGCTCAGGGGGGCTCAGGGGATCCAGGGAGGCTCCAGAGGGTTCAGGGGGCTTCAGGAGAGCTCAGGGGGACTCCGGGGGGCTCAGAGGGGTTCAGAGGGGCTCAGAGAGGCTCAGGAGGACTCCAGGCGGGCTCACAAGGGCTCAGGGGGTTTAGGGGAGCTCACCTCTGCCGGGGCTCCGGTCACTGGGCAGCCCCAGCCCACCCCGCTCCATGCCGGGGGTGACAGGTGAGCGGTGGGTGACAGGGGGGCTCCACAGCMGCTGGGGTGACAGGGGGCTCCTGTGGGGTGACAGAGGGTCAGGACAGGACTGCCATGAACCCCCCCCTGCCCTGATCCCACTGCCCTCGGCGGGGCAGGACCACTACGTCCCATGGATGAGATCCCCCAGAACAAGAACCCCTGGGGTACCCCAATACCAGGACTCCGGGTTCCCCCAGGACCCGGCTCTGCTCTCCGCACCCCTCCAGGGTCCCATCCCAGGGGCGGCCAAGCGGGACGGGTCCAAAGTTTTCCGGCGGCGCCGGCAGCGCGTCCCCGCCGCCGCCGAGCAGGAAGCGCGGAGCGGGCGAGCGCCGGGAGGGCGGGCTGGCTAATGGATAACCCCGCTGCGGGGGGCACTGAGAGAGCCCAAAATGCCCCCCCAAGCCGGAGGAGGGGCTGGGGAGAGGGGAAATGATCCGCCCCGAGCGCCTCTGGGGGTTACGGTAGGTCCTACAAGAGGTGGCGCTTGTTTGTTTGTTTTGTTTTCCTCTCGCTGCCGGGGCAGAAAGGAATCTGCGGGGACAGCCCGGGGTGCCAACCCCATCCCGGGGTGCCAACCCCATCCCGRGGTGCCMAKCCCATCCCGGGGTGCCCAGCCCATCCCGGGGTTCCTCAGCACCCCCCCGCGTGTCCGTGGGGACACGGGGACACAGCGGTGCGAACCCAAGCGCCGTCACCTCCCCTGGGACGGAGCCAAAGCTCGGGACGCGGTGTCCCAGATCCAGGGACGGGGGAAAGGGTCAGCCCCGCTCCGGCCCCGTCCCACCCAGCGGGCAGCCGGCCCGGCGCCGGGTCCCACCCGTTCCGGGGTGTGGGGGGACGAGGGGACCCGCGGTGACACGGAGGGGTCCGCGGGGATCCCGGGGGAGATGTCCGGACACTCCGCGGGACGCTGGAGGAACAMCCCSCCCGCCACCCGCGGARTTGGGGTCCCGTCCCTCCCCTCGAGTGGGCTCCGAGCAGGGGAATTTGGGGGTCCGGGGGGGTTGGAGCAGCCGCCGAACTCACCGAGCAGCCGCGGAGGCCGGAGCAGGGGAGCGAGCGGTGGGAGCAGCCGCCGGGCTCTGCCGGGAGGAGCGGGAGGGGGTGGGAGAGAAAAATTAATCATCCAGGAGGGCCGAGTCTCGGCGGGAAGCGAAGGAGTCCAGCTCGGCTGCGCCAATAAACTGCCGGACGGACGGACGGACGGACGGGCTGGGTCCTAGAGCCCCACGGCCGCGGCCGTGCGGGGTTCCAGATGTGCGCGGACCCAGACAGGCGGGCACCGAGCTGTGCGTGCAGCCAGATGTGCAGGGATCCAGATGTGCGGGGATCCAGCCAC